CCCATCGCCCCTCTCTGATTATAGACTAGAGCTTCTGCCTCCGCTGCAGACGGCTGTTTACTAGTGAGCAGGTGTAAGAACTACTTTCAATACCTGGAACCTTTCTATAAAAAGTCTTTGGTACCTTAAGAAGCTGCATAGTGGAAGAACGGGGCATAACTTCCGTTTGCCCTCCATCTCCCATTCCCTCCCTCCCCCGTTTGCCTACTTCCTGCTAGTCCACAGCTGACGCTGCAGACAGTTTACTGTTTCCTTTTCTAGGACAGGCAAAGAGATAGCTTAGGTAGCTTCCTGTTCTCTGTGGCCTTTTTTACTCCTACCACCAAGAATTTACCTGATGGTGACTTAGTTGGGTGTGAGGCCAACCTGTGCAGCTGAGCCTTTGAAGACTACCCTGGGTCCTCGTACGTCTGTGTGTGGCCTGAGATTGCTGAAGGCAAATCATCTTACCTTTGAACCCTTCTTCCTTCTTGCAAATGGAATGCTGAATCCAGCTTGTCCGCTAGACCAACAGTATCCAGCACCAAATAGGATCTCATTTTTATTGCTTGGCTTTTCCAGGGTATATTGGAGACACTGGCCAAACTCATGGCCTCCTGCTGGTGTCAGTGCCACCATCTTCATCAAGAGCCATCATTCACTGAGTTGCTGCTGTGTTGTTGGTCTGGGCGGGGCTTGAGACCTTACATTTGAGTTCATCCTGAACTCTGTCACACATCAGGAGGCCATGTGGTTCTTGTAAAGCTCAGCCCTGAGGTGACAGGCTCCAGTGCTGACTACTGCACAGTTCTCCACTAGGCATGTTCCAACTCTGTTTTTAATAGTATATTTTTGTGCTAAGTGGGCTTTGTACTGTACATGCTCCAGTTTGCCGAGCACTAGGTTACTAGAGAACATTTGTCCCTGTGTAAGTGTGCCTTTCATACATAGCTTTATTGTTTTAAGTAGTTCCCAATCTTACTGAGGTTTAGTCATTGGAGTACATTTTTGAAAAACGCAATTGACAACTGAAGAATCACTAAGAAAGACGGTGGCCGAGCTGGACTTAGTTACAGTAAAGATCCTAAGGAGACATCCTTGAGATCCTGGGTGACCCTTCTCCTAAGGGCAGCCCTCCTCTAATGACTGCCTCTTCACAGCAGTCATGGCAGTAGTGTTGCCCACTGCCTGTTCACCAGTACCACTGAAGAACTATAGACTTCACCCAAGAAATAAACTAGCCACCCAGACACAGGGGCGTGTGTGAATGGACTTTGAGAGTATTGCTGACAGAAGCATCCAGGATTCTAGCTAGTCCTAGACCAAGAGCAGGCAAAGGAATTCTCAAACAGGAATCTGGAACTGGAATCTCCGTGTGGATTTGGAAGAAGAGATGAAGAGCCATATATAAATAAAGCTGTTATTTCTGGACAATTTCAACTGTCTCCCCCAGGTAATCAGGCTACTCCTGGCCCAAAAAGAAGAAAACCTTGTAGATATGATTTAATGTTCATAGGGTTTTGTTTTTAAACTCAGACTTGGTGGTTCAACCTGTGAGAATTCTTTAAACTGAGAACAAACATTCTTGGCTCACAGATTTTGGAAAAGGAGGCGGAGGGGAGATATCTTTGGAGAGACATCTTTGACTCCTCAGAACCAGGGAGTGCAATGCAAAGATGACCGAGTGCTGCTCACACTTAAAAAAGCAAACACTACTTGGTAGAATCTTAGCACAATTTCCTCATCTACCTTAATTTCTTCTAAGGAAACAGGAAAGTTAATTCATAATTTCCTTTTCCCTTTCAAGCACTTTTTAAATTTCAGGAGACCTCTCTGATTAGGGGGCATTTTTTAGAGCCTTTTAATGTGTATTTAATCTCAATGTTCTGCTCTTGGTGACTGCAGTGACACTGAGCCTCCACGGGAAGGCTTAACAGTTAAGAGTGCACTTTAATTCACTAATGCTCACTTCGTGTGGCCTTATAAGATGATGGGTCAGGGAACCCACTTCATTCTTACCTGCCAAAGAGATGTGCAGAAGCACATCAAACACCAGCACGTCATCTGCACAAAAGGATTAGACTTTGGTATCCCCAAGTATACTTTAACAGTGTGTGCTATGCCATTTGGAAATGTTTTTTAACCTCAGGTTTTAAATAAAGCAAACACTGTGGCATTTGGAGTAGCATTGTCTTTTATTCCTCTGACAAAAATAAGTTGTAAAATGAGCAACAGGTCTACCCAGCAGGAAGCAGAACATCTCACAGGGTCCCCACAGATAAGAGTGTGACAGATAGGTCCTGGCAAACTTCTAAGTCCTCTCTGAGGTATCGAGACCTGCCTAAGCCTGTGATTTCGTCCACCTACAGTCCTCGGCCATCCATATGGCTCCAGACCTTCTCATGGCATACGAGTGCTCAAATAACAAACTTTTCAACCTGCCAAAATAAAGGCCACACCCGGCTCAAGCTCATTGTCAGTAAGCACTCAGCACTGGTACTTCGCAGGGAAAGAGAACAGCACTCCCGCCATATTTGCTCAGCAGTGAGGAGGCTGGAGACAGGCCCAGTGAGGTAGAGCTGCTCACTCCCAACACTGTTCCTAAATCAGTGCTCAGTATCTTAACCCTTGAGATGACGGAGGACCCCATGTCTTGAGTATCCCATGCCTTAACACCCCCCCCCCCCAGAACATGTCCTGGTCCCCTCCTCCAATCTTCCCCTTGCCTAGATTTTCTTGTGCATGCGCTTGGATCATTCACCTTTTCTATAACTCTTAGGCTCTTCCTAAGAAATTCCGACACCTTCCTCATTATCATCCTCCACTGTATGAATAAGTTCAGAACAAAAGGGCTAAAAGAAATACTACACGGGTAAAGGCCCTAGTCCACAGGTACTTGTCTGTGTGTATACTTGGAGGCCAGAGGGTGGTGTCTGCTGTCTTCCTTCCTTCCCCATTATCTTTTTTTTAATATTGTGTTTTTCTTGTATGTATTTATGTGTACGACATGTGTGTCTGGTGCCCATAGAGGCCAGCAAAGGTTACTAGATCCCTTGGAACTTGAGATACAGACAGCTGTGACCACAATGTGGGTGCTGGGAGTTGAGCCTGGATCATCTGAAAGTAGCCAGAACCAAGAGTTCCATGGTCCTTTACCTTAATTTTTCCAGAGCTAAGCCATCTCCCCAGACGTCCAAGAACTTCTTAAAACCAAATGCAATTATTGCATTAGATATTGTACAAAGCCTGTGTTTCCTGCAGTGTCCCCAAACTCCTCATCACAAACCACAGGGGAAAGCTTGGAATGGTTTTCTAATTAATGTGCAGTTACCTTCAACACCCACTAAGTCTCTGTCACAGGGTCCTTTATGGAAGTAATTCTTGGCCAAGCAAATATATTTAGCAAGTACATTGAAGGTTCACTCGCTTCTCTCTGCCACTCCCCTTCAGCGCCATTATGATTCCAGGGCAAACGATGGATCTACATCAAATGAGCACTCAAGAGCAAACAAAATGCCATCTGTGTAACGCTGTGGCTGTGTAGGTGTGTGTTGTAGTCTGAATGTGT